TGGATAGAGGCCTTCCCCACCACTAACAAGAGGGCCACCACTGTGGCTTCCCCATACTCCTCTCCCAGATTATCCCAAGATTCGGAATGCCCTCTTCCATACAAACGGACAACGGCCCAGAGTTCACCGCTCAAATAATACAAAATTTATCTCAAGCCCTCTCCCTCCCTTGGCCTCCGGGCCACGTCCAACTCTAACCCTTTTCTTCCTTTTTCCACAATCCTCTCCTAACCTGGATATGGCCTGTCGCAGGACCTCCAACTATTATCTACCCTGCATTATTCAGGTAAGTAAAATTTCTAACCAAGCTTTTAACCAGCCTTTACTTAGAAATTACCAGCTGCTGGCCATGGAAGACCCTTCCTACTCCTCAATAGAATGCCTGACATCTTGCTGAAATGGATCTAAGTCACCAGTGGCACTTGTTCCTGACCACTGTAGCTGCAGATGCATGGATGATCTTCCCCACAACCTCTTACGCCCATTGGACACAGCAGATGGCTGACCTATGGCTCCAAGGAACTTTCACGGATTTCTCTCCCCTTGAAATCACCCTGTTCACCACTCTCCTTTGGGGTATAATGGGGGTTTCTTTCTCCTCCCTGTTTCCTCCTCCCATGACGCCCCCCTCCAGCAGGAAGTAGTTCGGAGACCTCAACGACCTTATCCCCAATAGAGGAAAAAGGGAGGAATGTAAGGCCCCATAGAAGACCCCAAAGGAGGCACTCCCTAAAACATGGCGCTTTTCTCTTCTGGGTCCTAACAGTTACCATCAGCTTCCCTGGTTCTGAGACCAAGTCCAAGACAGGGTGGACTTAGACTGAGCAACACCACCAGCTTCCCTGGTTCTCCAGCTTGCAGACAGTCTACCTTGGGACTTCTCAGCCACCATAATCACGTGAGCCAATTACTCTAATAAATCCCCTCTCATATATGTATATCTATCTAGATATCTATATGGATATACAGGTATAGATATCCTGTTGATTCTGTCTCTCTGGAGAACCCTTGAAGTCAGTTTTCCTCTTTGAGCATCAGTCGCCTTTTGGATAATGCAGATGTCAACACAGAAGTTGAATATACAGGTTGTAGTTCAAGGTAGAGGTTTGGGCTGGACATAGACTTTTGAAAGTCATCACCACATGGGTGGAAATTGAAGCAGAGAAAAATTAGAAGATGAAAACAGAAGAGAGTGTGGTAAAGTCCAACATGGGCCTCCAAGCATCACCACCTCCTGGTATTCATGCCCTTGCGTACTCCCTTCCCACACTGAGTCACAGATGGCCTGTGTTGCAAATAATAATAAGGGTAGGTCATAACAGCTAGGAAGAAGGAGAAAAAACAGGAGATTGAGGGTTGGTAAAGGAGATGAAACCCCTGTACTATATGTGCTAGGGAAGAGGCTAGAATTCCCTTTCAAAGTACATTCCTACTCTTAACAGTTCTTCCACCACAGTTACCAAAGACAAGGCTGTGGCCTAGATAGGAGGAGAAAAATTGGTGCTACAGCTATAAAATCCTGAAACTCTCAAATGCGAAGCCTTGGACTCTCAAAACCTGTGATGTAAATGTTTTAGAATAGGGACTTACACCCTTTGACTCAGTTGGTGTGACCCTGGCACCACGGTGGATTGGGCAACAGGGCAAGACATAATGCCTGAAGTCCTAGCCTTCATCTCCAACCATTGGTCACTTTGGCTCCAGACTCACTTTTTTCATCTAGGCCTCTTTCATGCCTTCATTCCCAGGGTCACACCCTGGACCTCTGCATCACCACAGAAGAGCTCCACCTCTGAAGTTATAAATGCAGACACCTGACCTCTGACCTGTCCTTCAGCTCTTCTCTGAATTCCTCCCACTGTTCTCTGGCCTGCAGAAACCTCTAATCCAGTTGTCTCTCTACTTTGTTCTGTTTATCTGCTTCCTCCAGCCTTCACTTCCTTCCCCATCAGCTGAGAGTCCAGGGTCCATCACTTCCACCATATTCTTCCCAATATGCTTAAATCCCTGTACAATTATCCTTCTGTCACACCCACCTGGCAGCATTCCAATCCTGGAAGAATCCAACCATCTGTCTTCTCTGAATCTGCTCCTGGGCTGTAAGTGCTGCTGGATAAAATCGCACAACCACACAGATCAGTGCTATGTACATTGCCAGCCTCAACCAGGTCCTCAACACCGTCCAACAGTCCTATGTTTGCCAAGTTAGCTGGCACTCACATTCTCCCCAACACCAACTTCCAAATCTCCTGTGTGCTCTGGAGATCTTCCACCTTTCAACTCTACCCCCCTTGATCTCCCAGTAGCCTTCTTCACTGAAGAAAGAGCAACCATTAAAGTGATGTCCCTCAGCTCCCAACAACTCCTTTCCCTCCGCTGCCACCTTCTTTCCCTACTCTCCTTTACAGCCAAACCTCTTAGAAAAATGGCCTATGTCTGAACACTCCATTGCTTCACCTTTCCCATCATTTTTCAGTCCCCTGCAATTCTGGTTTCTGCCTCACTGCATTACTGAAACTGCCCTCATCAAGGACATCAAAGATCTAGTCTTTATCTTACTTGACCTTTCAACAGCATTTGTCATTGCTACCCTACCTCTCCTTCTCAGTCACTCTTTTTTTTTTTTTAAAGATGACCGGTAAGGGGATCTTAACCCTTGGCTTGGTGTTGTCAGCACCACGCTCAGCCAGTGAGCTAACCGGCCATCCCTATACGGGATCCGAACCCATGGCCTTGGTGTTATCAGCACCACACTCTCCTGAGTGAGCCACCGGCCAGCCCTCAGTCACTCTTTTTTCTTTAAATTCTATGACCCTACATTCTCTGGTTTTCCACTTCCTATATCTCTATCTTTCTCCTCTCAGCCTCCTAGCAGCTTCTTTTCCTCTACCATGAGGGAAACCACCACACTCTCCTTGGGCAGTCTTATTCACTACATGGTTCCAATCACTTCCCACAAGTGATGTTTCTCAAAGCTTATCTCCAGCCCAGCTCTTGTCCCTGAGTTCCATACCCAAATAGCCAGCCATGAACTTCAACATCTCTGTTTGACATCACCTCAAACTGTACATTTCCACAACTGAATTTATCACCCTCTCTTCCAGTCCAGCTTCTTTCCCACTGTTCCCAACCTCCATAAGTGGCATCACCAGTCTCTCAGTTGCCCAAGCCAGAATTCTGGAAGTCATCCCTAATTGCCCCTACCATTTCCTTCCCCATTCAATCACTAAGGCCTGTGAAATCTACTCTTAATGTTTTTCAAATGCACACTTATTTCACTGCTCCCACTATTTCTGGCCTGCATGCCTGTAGCATACTTCTCACTGTTGTTTTTGCTTCTTATCTAGCTGTCCTCCTTAACTTTTACCATATTACAGCCAGGAAAACTCTAAAATGCATCTCTGACTTCATCACTCTTCTGCCTAAAACCATCCATGGTTCCCATTGCTCTTAGGAGAACCCAGACTCTGGACACCTGTCACCTGCTTAACCTCCACTCCTTCCTACTGAGACATCTCTTCTCCTGGAGGGCTTTCCCTGAATGTTGAACCACTTGTCTAAACAGGGATAGGGTTGAGTAGGACTAAGCAGCGCCCACATCCTGCTCCTGATGGTTCCTCCTCTGCCCATTCTTTTGTTTTCCTTGGGGAAATTTCCTGGGGAGGGAGCCTGATGTGGGGTTAACAGTGTGGGCTCGGGAACCAGGAAGCCCTGAGTCCTGCCCTAGCTCATGCATGTTACCTGTATCAGAGCCACAACCCAGACACATGAAGCTCTAGGAAGCTCCCCTTTTGAGAAGTGCAGGCTCCCAGGATCTCTGTCCTAAATAAAGTGGCCACTGCTCACTCTGTGCTGCAAGGAAAATCAATTTCGTTGCCATGTCCGCCATGGATGGGCTAGAAGACTACAACCACTTCAGAGCTGTAGCGGTCGCCAGGAGTAACCATGTGGCCCAGGAGGGTAGACCTAGATTCTTCCTTGCATCTTGCAGCAAACTACCTTTGCAGTATGGTGCGTAGACAGTACGGGATAGTAGTTAAGAGTGAGTGTTCTAAAGCCAGACTACAGGTGTTCAGATACTGCCTTTGCCCTTAGTAGCTATGGGACCTTCAGCAAGTTACTTAACCTCTGTTTCCTCATCTATAAAATGGAGAAAATACTAGGGCTTTTTAGGGGTTTAAACCTAATAAGCTCGGCACATTCGTGAGTTTCTCCCTCAGCAAAGAACAAAGCTAACACCAGTGTTTTCGTGGCCCTGCGGGGTTTGGCCCAGCAGGAGACAATGCCCAGGGTTCACGCTCCGGACGCAAGCCCGGAGACACCAGACTGATGTCAAAAGTGAGGAATTCTGCATGACGCCGGGCAAACTGCGCCTGCAAAGAAACTCACAATACACAGTCTAAAACTCAAGGAGCCAGCACTAGCCCCGGCCCCTCCCTCCAGGTTCACTTTCCAGAATGCGCAAGCGCAAAGGATAGCAAACCGCCCCGGATCTCTAGGGGCGGGGCCCGAGGAAAGCTCTGAGTATGGCTCTTTCGCGTCCAATCGCAGATGTCGTCCCTCCCGTTCCCGTAGGCGGGAATATCCGGTCAGTGTAGAGAGCGTAGGCCCCACTGATCTTGGGACCTTGTGGCCGCCGTAGTGCGTCTGAGGCGGCTGGCTGGCTACGGTCTGGACGCACTGCGGTCCGCGGTTCCTGAGGCGGAGTTCGGACCAGGCTCCTCGGGATGTCAGTGGCCTTCGTTCCGGACTGGCTGAGGGGCAAAGCGGAAGTCAATCAAGAGACTATCCAGCGGGTGAGCGTCAACGCGGGCGAGGGGAGTCGGGATCCCGAGGGGCTGCGGAGTGTGGGAGCTTCTTGGAATGAGCGGCATCCCAGCTGACTTGCAGTCTGCGAAGGGTGTTGACCTGCTGGGGTATGGAGTAAGATGGGAACAAAGTGAACAAAGTCGCCGGCACAGGACAGCCCGGCACGGGCGGGAAGGAGGTTGCAGTCTTCCCTGCCGTCCTGACATCGCACTGCACTGATCCTTTCTCTGATCTTTCAGCTTCTGGAGGAGAATGACCAGCTGATCCGCTGTATTGTGGAGTATCAAAACAAGGGCCGGGCGAACGAGTGCGTCCAGTAAGTGCCTCCCCTCCCGTCCCTGACCCTTGAGTGGAGGGGAGGTCAGATGTGGTAATGGAGCAGCTGTCTTGAACTAGAAGTCTTGGGTGTTTGATCGCAGATGAGACGTATTTTACATTTGAGGAAAGACAGGCTCAAAGAGATTATCTACCCAAGACCATGCAGCCAGTACATTGTGGAGCCTGGAGTCAGATGTGGCTCCGTCTTCAGAACTTGAATTATTCTCGATGCAAAACCTCCTTCACATGAAGCCATGCCAGCTGATGACAAGGATGGGGAGGGGAGAACACGGAAAATAGGCTCAGGAAATGAGAGTCAAGACCCGTTTGTCATCATGGGTCCCTGCCTCATCCTTTTTCTGTTAAGTGTGGTGATCTGATCATTTGAGTGCTAAGCTCCTTCCCATTTCTAACTTGCAGTCAGTCTGTGAGTGACACACACAAAGACCAACAAAGGAGCTCCAAGTTAAGCCCGGGGTAAATTCTGCATGGTAATTTTACGTGCTTTCTAGTCAGACACCAAAAGAAGAGAAAATAGAGTCTGAGTCACTTTTCCAAATCTAGAAAGTATGCCCCATTTTTTATAGAAAAATATATTATTTCACGGTTACTGAAGAAATGTTTAAGAAAGCCATTCTTTCTCTACTCCCTAAAAAAAAAAAAAAAAAGTCACCTACAAAATTTTAAAGAGTTTTTTATTTAATTAATTAATTTATTTATTTTTCTTAAAAGATGACCGGTAAGGGGATCTCAACCCTTGACTTGGTATTGTCAGCACCACGCTCACCCAGTGAGCTAACCGGCCATCCCTATATGGGATCCGAAACCGTGGCCTTGGTGTTATCAGCACCGCACTCTCCCGAATGAGCCACGGGCCGGCCCCTTAAAGAGTTTTTTAAAATCACCTACAATTCCTCACTTGAATACCTCAATGGAATAGTAGAGATTTCCATTTTGGGCTAAGTCTTTACATTTGACTCTGGCATTTGGTGATTTGCTTTTTTAAAATTTATATTAGACACTTTCTCGTTTTTCTATATGGAAAATGGTTGCAAAATATTTTGTTTGGTACAGTGATTCTCAACCAAAGGGTAAAAAAGTTATCAGAATCTCCTAGTGGGTTTTTTTCCACATTGCACAGGCCAAGCTTCCTGAGCCCTGGTCCGATTTATCTTCCTGGATGGGGAACTCTACCTCCTGATTGAGAATCACTGCCGTAGTAAGCACACATTTATCATGGAAGTGTCTTGTCCCTTCCTGAAGTTCGTTCAAAAAATACTTTACTACTGAGTACCAAGCGCCATTTCAGGTACTGGATCAGCAGCAAAACAGCAGCTCTGCTCTAATGGAGCTGATATTCTAGACTCTAGGATTTGGAGAGAGGAAATATATAAGTAAGCACATAACAATAAGTGCTTCGATTACAAATAAAGCAGGATAAGTGGGGGGAGGGGTGCTACTTTATACAGACAATCTCTGATAAGGTGATATTTGAGTAGAGACCTGAGGTGAGGGAGCCAGGTATGCAGATAAGAAAGGCAGAGAGAGCATCAGGTGGAAAAACCCCCTGGCAGGAGTGTGCTGGATATCTTCAAGTCACAGCAAAGAGGCCACTATGGCCAGAACTCAGTGAGCAAAGGGAAAATCACTGGAGATGAGATCAGAGAGGTAGCTGGAGGCCCAAATCATGTAGGGCCTTGTAGGTCAAAAGAAGGGTTCAGCTTTAGTTTGAATGAGATCGGAGTCTTTGGAGGGTTTTAAACAGGAAGTATAACATAAGGTATGGACTTAATTTGTACAAGGATCACTTTTGTACAAGACTGCTGTGTGGAGAATAAAGTAGAGGTGCAAAGGTAGATCAGGGAGACCAGTTAGGAGACTACTGTAATAGTTCAAGCAAGAAGTGACAGTGGCTTGGCCTAGAGCTGTGGAAGTGATGTGAGAATGAGTAACATTTTCCTTGAATATGTTAAACAAAAAGGTTGATAACACTGAATCATCCAATTGATGGATGAGCCATTCCACTAGAGTGGGTAAACTCTTTTCCAATTTTTTGTTCATGGTCAATGAAAACAAGCCTCTAATTTTTACCCGTTTTTCACCATAGGTACCAGCATGTGTTACATAGAAATCTCATTTATTTGGCTACCATCGCAGATGCCAGCCCAACCAGTACTTCAAAACCAATGAAATAATCTTCCAGTTGGCTGTTGTGAGGAGTAATTGAATGTAATCCATTTCCTATGAAATGGAGACAGGATCTTTACCAACTCAACTGCTGAAAACATGAATGAAACCTCTGTGGCTCTTTTAAAAACATGAGAATGTGAAGAAAGCCACTAACTTAACTGTATTCTCAGTGTAAATATTTATTTAATAATTAAGCAGATCCCTCAAAAAGTTGACCCCAGGTGTTCTCTTTCCTGAAATGGGAGCAAGTTTGGATAAGAATAATGTCATGGGCATCTTCAAGCCTACTTTTTAGTTTCAACCTGAAGAGGAAACCAAGTAGGTGTTGGGCAAACAGCAGGAATTGGTGAGACTCACAGCTGACACCTTGCCAAATGGACATGTAACTGTGTGCTCCCTCCTACCAAGTTTGTGGTCCCCCAACTGCTCTTTTCAGGATGCTTTGAAACAAAGCTTGCTTTTCTGCAAAAGACTGATATGAGGGTTAGAAGTTTTCATGTAATAACTGTTCCATTTGGTTTTCCAGAAAAACTGTTAAGGACTTAACTATAAGGTATGTAACAACTATACCATTATTATTGCCAATAAAATTAATAGTGATTCTTAATTATCTAATATTATCTGTTAATAGATGATGTTCACTTTTCTTCAGTTATCACAGAATGTCTTTTTGTTCATTGGTCTGAATTGGGATCCAAACGATGCACACATTGCACCGTGTTGATGTTCCATTAAGTAGCTTTAAAAATACTTAATAGTAGAGCCTGATGCTGATATTGCAAAGGTCCAGGGTTCAATTCCCCTTGTACTGGCCAGCTACCAAAAAAAAAAAAAGGATTAAAAATACTTAATAGTTCCCCCTCTTTACTTTGCCATTTGTTGAAAAAAACTAGGTCCTCTGCTCTAGAACTTCTCATGTTCTGATCCATCCACTTGTGTCCTAGTAGTGTCTTTAAATATGTCCCATTGTGCTATGGGTCACATTTGTCCCCCAGAAGTTCATGTAATAGAAACTCGATCCCCATTGCAACAGTGTTATGAGGGTGGGAAATCTGATTATGGCATTTGAGAGGTGAGTGGATCATAAGGACTGTGTCCTCATGAATGAATTAATCCATTCATGAAGGAATGAGTTATCTTGGGCATGGTTGTGATGGTTTTATTAGGAGAGCAAGTAAGGAGATTAGCTCTCTTGCTCAGCCCATTCTCGCCATGTGACACCTTGCATCGCTGTGGAGAGTCACAATCAAGAAGGCCCTCACCAGATGCATCCCCTGGACTATGGACTTCCCAGCCTCCATAAAGAAATTATAAAGAAAAAGTAAGAAATAAATACTTTTTCTTTATAATTACTTATTTCAGGTATTCTGTTATAAACAACAGAAAACATACACACTCACCCACATTTCCTATAAACTGATAGATCTAGAGGCTCTTTCAGACTAAAGTTCTATTATTTTTGGCTAGAATATGTCATCGGAGGTGGTAAGTACTTGTGTTTGCATCACATCAGGAAGTGACCAGATTTGATTTATTTCCAAGTTCCCAACAGCCTTTTACTTAAATTATGATCTACCCAGTTTTGATCTTTTGATTCATTAGGGATTGCATAGTGGTGATTTTCTAATTTTATCAACACTTCTGCTTTTATTAGTTGTATTCTATAAAAACTTTCCCTCTTTGAGACTTATCTGTAAAATGAAGCAAAGAGATTCTTGGAAGTGAACCCAAAATTAGAATCCCAGGTTCCTGCTCCTTTTGTTGGAGTCAAGGGTTGCAACTCAGGGTGGCTGTAATATGTAAATAGTGAAGAGATAACTCATTTTGAATCCCAGTTCTATCCCTTTAACCTCTGAGAGCTGTTTCCTCACCTCTAAAATGGGAATAATGAAAATAGTATCTGCCTCCTGAGGTTGTAAGATTGAGATAATGTGGTTGAGAGCTGAGCACTTGGTGAACACTCAATGTGTGTTAGCTCTGGCCCTTACTCTAGGCTTTTTCAAATCTTGCGGAGAGTCTGTTCCTTTGCTCCATCACCCAATCTGACATCCTTAACAGTTTTTAGCCCATTTGTAGTCTTCCTTCTCCATGTTCATGGGGTTGGTGCCCATACTGTATACCAGCTGGCACAAGTAGGCTGCTCATGGGCCTGATCTGGTCAGTAGATGTGTTGGGGCTGTGCAGTGTATTTAGTTTTGAATTAGTTGCTAACGTTTAAAAATAAGTAGGTTTCCAATTAAAGCCTGGATTTCTAACTGCCGGAGACCAGCTCCGGTCAAGTTGTGGGTACCCAAAAAAGGAGAGGGAGGGTCGGCGAAAATAACAAACACAGACAGAGACCTCAATGCATCAATATGCACGTTCTCTCTCTGCGGGCTGTCAGTGTGTTGCAGCTGGAGCACAGTAGAGCATGAAACAATGCCTTTTATTTAGATTTTTCTCTGCAGGGGGGTTTTGGGGGTACTATTTTTATTGTATCAGCAAGCTTAAATCAATGGTCCATAAAGCAGGGAGGAAACCTTTTTAGAGGTCAGCACGTCTTAGGTGATCAACTCGTGCTTCTATTTCCTGGAATCAGGTTTATCAGATTCAAACCATCCCTTCATTGTCTTGAAGTTATCTTGTGACCTTTCTCTGTAAGCAAACTGTGGTTAATATCCACCCTGTTAATATCCATCCTCCCTGGTGGGAGCCAAATGTAAAAAGAACAGCGGATATTTGAGCAGCATTATCATGCACATTTTAAGGTTATGCATTTGCTGTGGCCCTGTAATCTTGATCTAAATGTTAAAGTGTCCTTGTGCACAGCACCATCCCTCACAAAACCAGTTACACTCTCTTATTTTTCTAAGATCTAATTTTGCAGGTTTAATAATTTTACAGCATATATTTTTATCCCAACACCTGATTCTTAATGATTTATTTAAAACTGGACACCACCAAGTAAAGGGGGTTCTACAGTTTCGTTCCCATATACTTAATTTGTCCCAATCATATAATTTCTCATTAATGCCAACCATTCTCTTGCCATTAATATAACCTCCAGTAAATGATGTTTGCCAACTTACATTAGGCTGCAGCTCATATTTAGTCATGAGCGGTGCTTTTGGAACATATGTTGGTGTGATCAATTTATCACAAGGGGATAATTTTTTTTTTTTAAAGATGACCGGTAAGGGGATCTTAACCCTTGACTTGGTGTTGTCAGCACCACGCTCAGCCAGTGAGCAAACCGGCCATCCCTATATAGGATCCGAACCCGGGGCCTTGGTGTTATTAGCACCGCACTCTCCCGAGTGAGCCACAGGCCGGCCCGACAAAGGGATAATTTTGAATTGTCCAATTTACTCGGATCCTTCCGTGGGAATGTTTAGTTCAATGACTGCATAATTATTTGTGTTATTTTTATAATCTTTTAGGAATTTAGAGAACTGCCACACTAACCAAAATATCGAAAGAGAAGGCAAAAGCCACAAAGCCGAGGCAGGCAGCCCTTCTGGTTGCAGCAAGTGCTCGTAGCTGTGGCCTCGCCAGCAGCTCTCCCTCCAGCAGCCCTGCCAGCTCGGAGAGGGCAGCCCAAGCTGACTCCTTTAGGACTCTGCCATGGCGTAGACCACGCCATCTAACAATGTTAGGCTTGCAGATCCACATGGTAACCATCAGCTGGAGTAGGATGGCAGCTGTCCCTCTGTACTAGGCAGCTTGACAAGTTTAAATAGGGCCTGGCACCCATAGACACTTGGGTTTGGCCATCAGTCTAGCTCCAGCTAGAATCTGAGCATGAGCTAATGTTTCAATTTGAGCCTCCCCTAAGGATTTGGAGAAAGCAGCCTGAGACAAGGCAGGTAGTTTATTTGGGAGATGATCTCAGGAAGCAGGAGTAGAGGAGGGAGAGTGAGACAGGGAGGGAGAAAAAAAATCACTAAAAGGGTGTGTTACTGAGGTCACTGCTGTAGGCAGTAGGGGCTTAATTCTGTGGAAACCTCGAGAAGCATGCAGAATGTCCCAAAAATGTCCACCTGAGAGACACTGGTTGCCTTAAATGGGCCCCTTGATATTGAAGAAGACGGAAGAAAGTGGAAAGCTGCAGGCTACCACCAGCACAACATGAGTCCGACCTTGTAGGAACTATGCTACTGGCTGCAGCCCATATCGAGGTGAAAGCATCAGAGAACATCAGAGTCTCCTCTGCCTGGGAGTATGAGCCTCTGAGCAAGCCACTGTGACCTACAGCAGTTAAGTGCAGCTTCCTGTGTGGGATGGGAGTAGCCTTGAAGACAAAGCCCAGCTCTCCTCTGGAGGGAGGGGGTTTGTGACCCCGTGTTCCCTTTGTATTTTGCAAGGATGTTTTAGTCTGCAGGCAGAGGACTGAATCAGAGCAAATCAGAAGCCTCAGAACAGCTGAGGGTGCTTTAGTCACAGCCTACCCTCCAGAGGGTAGACACCTTAGAGAAGCTGGCACAGGCCAGCTAGCTGTCTGCACTCCAGCCCATCTCTTCCTGTTTGCTTCAGAGAGAGCCCAAAGCACAAGCACCTGCCATCCCTCTTGAAGGATGCAGGAATCAACATAGTTGTGCAAGATGATTTAAAGACAAAAACCCAAAAAAACAAAGAACAAATAGTGACCCTGACTAGACTATATTAACCACTACTCTCGACTCGGAGGACCTCCTGCTTCAAGTGTTGTGCCTCCACTCAGCCCATCTGAGCCCTTCTCCAACCCGTTGGCTCAAGCTGATATCCCAACAGCCCACACTGAGTCTGAGCCTACCTCTTAGGATTTGCAACAGCGGTGACTTCTGTCATTATTACATTCCTGGCATGAGGATATGGCAGGTAAAACAGACAGTAGATCATTCGAGGTCGGATTGTATTCTACGGAATATTAAGCTATTTTTCCACTTCCTCATAAGGCCTCTTGATATCCCAGTTTGAACTTTGCAGACTCCTACTAACAATATAACTATCAAAGAAATGATGTTCAGTGCTATCTTATGTGACTTTGAACCTTTGCAGTAAACCTCCATTACTGGAGGTGATCTGAGTGTATTTCTTAAGATGGTGATATGGGTTGAATGTGCCCCTCAAAGTTTCATGTATTAGAAACTTAAGCCCCATTGTGACAGTGTTAAGAGGGTAGGAAATCCTGTTATTGTGATTGAAAGGTGGGGCCTTAAAGGTGTGATTTGATTGTGAGGACTCTGCCTTCATGAATGGATTGATCCATTCATGGAGTAATGGTTGTGGTTCTGATGGTTTTATAAGGAGAGCAACTGAGAAGCTTAGCTCTCTTTTGCTCACATCATTCACTATGTGACGCTCTGCATTGCTGTGAGGAGTCACCACCAAAGAAAAAGTCCCTTACCATATATGTTACCTGGACTTTGGACTTCCCAGCTTCTGAAACTGACAAATAAATTTCATTTCTTTACACATTTCTCAATTTCAGGTATTTTGTTATAAGCAGCAGAGATGTACTAATACAGATGGGTACATAGTATCATTTTATTATTACTCTACCTCATATATATAATGTTTCCCATCTATTCCATTTTTAAAAAAGCAGTTTTAAGAAGTTAATTAATCTGCTACCTATGTTCCCCATGAAAGTCCCATAGATTCCTCTGGAATCTAGATGTTCTCTTGAATCACTACAACCTTCTCCTTCCTTCCTAAAACCAAGGGGAAGTTGTTTTCATTTCTGTTTGTGTTTAATTAAATAATTCAAAAATATTTATTGATTAACTAGTATGTGCTGATGATACTGCAGTGAGGAAGCCAGACAATGTCCCTTCTCTCATGGAACCTTTATTCTTATTTGTGGAGACAGAATAAAGTGTAAGTAAGGACAGCTTCATGATAATAAATGCTCTGCAGAGAATTACAACAAGGTAGTATGTTGAGGAGTGTTTGAGTGACTACTTTAGATTATGGAGTAAGGGATGACCTGAGGATGTAACATTGCAGCTGAGATGAACAACAAGGAACCTGATGCATGACCATAAAGGGAACTAGCAGTGCAGCAGAGGCAACATCTAAACAAAGGCCTTTCATTCCAACTGTTTCTCTCTCTCTTATTTTTTTCATTGCCAACTGTTTTTTTTCCCTCTCTGGAGTCCATTTATAGAGCACTATTCACCTATGTGTTCATTGATAAAATTACAACATGAGTCCTCGTTTGTCCAGGCCTGGTGCTTGGCTCTATAGTGAGAAAAACAGGAGGAGGGGCACTGGGCCCTGCCTTCAGAGAGCTCCTAAGTCTGGCAAGATAAAAAAGACCCACACCCCAGCATGAACCAGGGCATTATGTGGGGCCAGAGATGCCTAAGAAAGTGCCCATACATTGAGGCTGCAGGGATTCCATGTGGAAATTATCAGGTGCTTCTTATTTGTCATAGACAAAGTCTATGCTTTTCAATTCCTGAGCACTCCCTTGTCTGCAAACAAAAAATTGATTTGCCAGTTACAGCTGAAGCTGTCAGCATCCTACTCTCATTCCTTGAACTTTACTCCAACTTCACGGAACTTTCTTCCTTTAACTGTATTCCAACTGACTCTCAACAGTCTGATTCTGTATCTCTGTTTCTGAAGACTTTTCCCTAAAACTGGAAGTCTGCTATGCCCAGGCCAGAAGAACGTGGGGGTAACTATCCCTAGGAGCAGCTCTCAACCAAACAGTCTCAGGAGATGGTGTATGAAAATCCCAGCTCCCTCACCCCTCAGACTGGATAATTCTCAGCTGTTTCTTCTGTGCTGGTTCCCAGAGTTCCCCAGCAGGATTAAGCTCCAATCACCCACTGGCTCAACATCACATACTTTATCAATTACCTTCCTTGTTTTACATCCCCATGCCCTGAATGTAGTTTTCCAGCGTCACTTCCTGTCTTAGTCTGTGTCGGCTGCTATAACAAAATTCCATAAACTGTGTGGCTTACAAACAACCTTAATTCTCACAGTTCTGGAGGCTGAGAAGTCCAAGATCAAGGCCCCAGCAAATTTGGTTTCTGGTGAGAGCCCACTTTCTGGTTCACAGACAGCCATCTTTTCCACTGTAACCTCACGTGACAGAAGGGGTAAAGGGTCTCTTTCAGGCCTCCTTTATAAGGGCATTAATCTCTTTCATATTGGGCCTTCCCTTCCTCATGTGCCTAATCACCTCCCAAAAGCCCCACTTCCTAATACCATCACCTTGAGGGTTAGAATTTCAACATGAATTTTGGGGGGACACAAACATTCAGACCATAGCACTTCTCAAATAACTTGCACTGAAATCATTGTCTCAGGGTTTGCTTCTGGGGGAGACCAAATCAAGACACAAGTTATCTAATACCTTACCGTTGGTGGGTAGACCCAGATGGACTGGCTCAGCCAATATGGCTTCCATCAGCACCAGGGCACTTGAAAAACTTTTACGCAAACCCAATCTACTTGCAAAGGCTAGTGTCCAGAAAAAGTATCAGAGCCAAGGACTCAAAGCAGAATTTAGAGGATTACCGAAGTGAGCAGGACTGAAGCCATGTAGGGATCTAAAACTTCATGGGCTGTAGGCACATTTTATAAGGACACAGTTTTTTCTTTGGCATGCATTTCTCTGAGTTCCCTCTTTTCCCACGGTTATTTGATATTTTGAACCTTGGTTATGGGAAAAGATGACATCATTTTCATGAATGTAAAATTGTTTTCCAGCCAGCCTGAAGCTGCAGACTTGCCAAGAGGCATGTACTATCCAGACCCTGAGATAACAGCAAAGATGGGAGCAGAAACCAGACAGAGTCTCGGTAAGAACTTGCACCTGGCTCCTTGCACAGAGTCCCCATGGCTCATGTCTTCCCCCACTCCTGCTTTTCGTTTCCCATGTTTCATTCCCTCAGCCCCCTCTTTTAAAACCCCTTAGTAAATCTGAGTCTTCAAGATGGCTTTAGTCGGGCCATTCTCCTTCAGGTTTAGCAGAGAGATGTGTTAGCCTAATATCTCTCCTCAGGTCACTGGTATTCCTGAGTAAAAGCTGACTTCCATTTTCACCAACATTTAACTTTTTCTATGTCTGGGGCAGGCAGACGGACCTGTGCCCGATAACAGGATAAAATCACTAAACAAGTAGAATCAACATAAAATGAGTAAGGATCCTATCTGACAAGAGGTATTTGTCATGGTGAGTTTTTCATATGCATTTGATGGGACCTGAGCTCCCTCCAAAAGAGGTTGTAGCAGCAGACATTTATGAAAGTACAGCCATGCTTTAAAACAAGTTATTGGCAAAAAAGTCACTAACCTAAAAGGCCAAAAGATGGGTGCAATATTCACAATTGAGGTGACTTCTTAGTTTACAGTCATTGCCTCAGTGGCCATCTCTGTGCTGCCATGCCTCTATGCCTTTCTCCACCCTAAGCTACTCAATCATAGTATCTAGCCATTGCCCAGACCACCAAGACTGAAGCCAAGGATGGGCATATCAAGCCAATCAGAATCTTTCCACAGGATTTTTCTCAGGGGTTCTGGCAGGAAAAACGCTTTCCCCTCAGATTGCTAGGTTTTAAAGATGTGTGCCTGAAGCTGCTGTGGCCGTATCCCCTTCTCTCCATGGAGAAAGTCCATCTGATCTTGACTAACACCGTGAGGATGTTATTCTATCAAAATACACATTTTTCCGTATCCCATGAAATAGTCTGCCTCTTATTTTCCACAAAAAAGAAATCTAAGATTTCAAAAAATATGTTCTTAAATTTTATGTGTGTATAAATATATATATATATATATGAGGGTACTTCAAAAAGCTCATGGAAGTATTCCTATTTTCTGGCAGCTGGCCAGTACAGGGATCTGAACTCTTGACCTTGGTTCTGTCAGCACCATGCTCTAACCAAATGAGCTACCAGCGAGCCCTGAATTCCTATTTTTTAAATCTATTTTTCCATGAACATTTTGAAGTACCTTCATGTATATGTAGATATGTATATATTTTTAAGCCAAATTCTGATACTATTTCTGTGTTGCGGGTCCCCAAGATGACCTCCAGGTTTGATGGTTCACTAGTAGGACTCACAGAACTCAGTATACAGTCACAGCTATTATTTATTACAAGAGGATACAAAAGATGTAGAATGGCCAGTGAGCACAGGAACAGAAACGATCCCAGTGACACTGGCGCCAAAGCAGGAATGAACACGCTCAGCCTAAAAGGCTTTTAAAGTGAGACAAACGGTCTAACAATAGGATGCGGTCATAATTACTCCCGCGAAAAAGAAAACAAACCCCGAGTCCAGCTCGGCTTACTAAACCTCAACAATTCAATACGCACAACTCGTTTCCGGCTCTCAACAAGGAAGTCTCGCGATATCGGCAAATGCGAGGACACAGCCCCAGAGGACGAGGTGGCGCAGGGAGCCGGCGCGTCCAAGGCTCCTAGATTGGGCGACTGACTCCAATGGGCGGGGCAAATGGGTATGGGAAAGCCAGCTGGAGGCTCCTCCAGAGCTCCGGCCACGCCCGCGTGCACGTGCTCCCTACACCGCCTCCTTCGGTTAACCCACTATTAGAGACTGTGCTCTCGCGGTATTTGTCCAGACTCTCGCGGGGCTTAGCGTGGCACAGGGGGCCGGACCGGGAGAAGAGGTGGCGTTGCGTTAGTGGCGTTGGCCTCAACCTGCGGTTTCAGTGCTTTCTCGTCTGCTCACAGGGAGACGCTCAGGCTGGAGGCCAGCAAGGTGAAGAGCTCTCCTGCATATGCGTGCGCTGCATGGGGACCGGAAGGCCCAGGGCGGGGGGGGCGGCCCGTCTTGGCCTCCTGCGCTGTCGCGACAGGCCGGCGCGAGGCGACCGTGGCGCGGACTTCGCCCAGCCCCGCCCTAGCCCCCCACCCTGACCGCTTTCGTTTCCCTCTCTCCCAGCTCTTGCCGCCGCCTCGGTCGCGATGGGGGCGCAGGACCGGCCGCAGTGCCACTTCGATATCGAGATCAACCGGGAGCCGGGTGAGCCGGAGATTGGGGAGCGCTGCTGGGGCCTGGGCTTGCCTGAGCGAAGGCGAGGCGTCTGCCCTCATCACCCCTCCCCCAAACATTTTTGGGAACGGGTAGGCGCAGTCAACTTGCCCTTTTCTCCTGAGAGAAAATCAGTGGGGAGGAGAGTGTCCCGGATACACCACCCCGTCCTGCTCGGAGTCTGGGTCTCTTCCAAACCCCTTGCCCCCTGCACCTCCGACTGAGTCCTCATACCCAGCCTGGCGCCAAGAAAAGGGGGCGCAGTTCAAAGGACTTTTTTTCTCCCAGTATCTCTAGAGGGCAAACACTCCCGATTTCGGTTTTTAGTATCTTGCTCGGTACCAAGAAGTTTGGACTCAGGTATTACGTAGTCTAATTACTATATATCGTTAATACGTTAAGTCCGCCTCTGTGTTCCCCTAAGGATCTTTAGCCAGAATTTTTTGATTCCTGGAAGATGGATTGGCAAATGTCTTGTGTGGAGAACCAGAGCATTTTGTACCAGCAGAATTACAGCATGCATACGCTTTAGCACTAATGTTTTGTGTTTAGGGAATCCAGCCACTCATTAGTATATATTTTTGAAAATAAAATATTTTTTTTATATCTATGACGAGGTTTAATGGGAGGCATATATGCTGTCTTTGTGCAGCATCTTGTTCTGCTGATTCTTAGGAGAGCCTGCTAACATTCTAGTCTCTGGAGATGTAGCAGTGAATAAAACAAAGGGCTCTCCTTTTATAGTTTATATTCTATAGGGGGAAGACAGACAATAAACTAGGGAAAAAAAATACAGTGGCTTGTAGTAGGGATACTGTTTTAGTATATTGGTTAGACAAGGCCATTTTGAGAAGATGACATTTAAGCAGATATCTAAAGGAGTTGAGAAGAGCATTTCTGGTAGAGGGAGACAGTTAACACAGGCGCTGAGGAGGAGTGTTGTATTTGCATGTTTGAGGAACAGCCCGGAGCCCAGTGTGGCTGGAGTAGAGGAGGGAAAAGAGTAGTATGAAATGGCCTATTGCCTTCTCTTTCTTTTTTTAATGTTTTGAGCCTTTATGGATCTTTATCCTTATTTTATAGTGAGTCCACGCAACATATAACAACATTTTTGTTTGTTTTTTTAAGAATGAAAAATAGACCCCCGAAAACAGAAGTAGAACAAAGGTTCTGTATTCATGTTAAGTACTCCTTTCCCTAGTACATGTTAAAATCCTAGATTTGCAAATAACCTGTGTTGTGAGAAATCTCCAGAATACGTTTAGTAATGGTTGAATGAACTTCAGTCCTCAACATCCAAGGTAATTCATCCTGATAGAAGTGACTAGCACACTTAGAATGTTTAATGTTTACTCATATATTAAACAAGGAATGCTTACGTTATTCTAGGTTGAACCAGTTAATAATTGTCAATTTCATGTGGTTCAATCTCATATATAATACTTCTCTAGCACTTGTTAGTGTATTATCTAAGTAGTAGATACTTGATTTTTACACAACTTTTAAGATCACTTTAGTTGTATGAAGTGTTCTGCTTTATAGGATTTAACCATTAGTACATATGTTACTGAGTACTTAATTTAAGTAGTACTCTCAACTTCTTGTGTAGTTAACAATTTACTTGATGTAAATACAAAGTAATATCTTTGATTTACTTTGATGAGCAAAGGTTATTTAAAAGTGGCCACACTGTCTGCACTAGTGAGATCAAGTACTGACAAAAAATTTTTTTGTGGCTGGCTGGTATAGGGATCTGAACCCTTCGAGCTTGGTGTTATAACACCACCCTCTAACCAGCTAAGCTAACCGGCCAGCCCTACTGATAAAAATTAAGTTGAATACAGCACAGTATGTATTCTGTTCTATTACTGTCAATAGAAATGTGTATTTATAGCAAACAAGTTTAATTCCATTATGGTTAGAGAACCTACTTTGTATGATTTCAGTTCTTTTAAATTTGTTAAGGTCCAATATGCTCTATTTTGATATATTTCCCCAGTGCACTTGAAAAGAATGCATATTCTGTTTTTGTGCAGAGTGCTCTATAAATGTCAGTTACATCCAGTTCCAGTTATTTTGTATTGCTGATTTTCTGCTTATTGTATTGATTACTAAGAGAGGAATATTGAAGTGTTGAACTATAATTATGGATTTGTCTGTTTCTCGTTTCAGTTTTATTATGTTTTTCTTCATTTATTTTGAGGCTCTTTTGTTAGGTGGGTGCATACACACGAAGATTGTTGTCTTCTTAGTGAATTGACCTTTTTATCGTTATGTAATGGCCCTTTCTGTTCCTGGTAATTTCCTTGCTCTGAAGTTTACTTTGTCTTATATGAATATAGCTATTCCAGCTTTCTTTTTATTAGTGTTTGCATGATATCATTTTCAATCCTTTTACTTATAACTTATCTATATCTTATATATATATTTTTTCCTTTTTGTCTTTTTTACTGACCGGTAACGGGATCGCAACCCTCGGTGTCGCACCCGTACTGGGGACCGGCAACGGGATCACAACCCTCGGTGTTGCGCCCGCACCGCGCTCAGCCAGTGAGGGGGAACCGGTCTCCACATGGGATCCGAACTCTCGGCAGGAGCGCCGCCGTGCTCCCTAGCGGCGCACTCTACAGTGGACCACCGGGCCAGCCCTATATCTTATCTTTAAATTGGGTAGATAGCAGATAGATGGGTCTTGTATTTTATCTATTCTGATGATCTCTGTCTTTTAGTTGGTATGGTTAACTATTTACATTTAATATAATTATCATTATGTTTGGACTTGTCTGTTTTTATTTCCTCTTTTTTATTTTGTTTCCCTTTCCTTATTTTGGTTAACTCAATTCCTAAGTATTTTATTTTTTTGGTAGCTATTGTAAATGGGCAGGCTTTCTTGACTTCTTGTTCACTATCGGAGAAAAGAAATGCTACTGATTTTTGTGTGTTGATTTTGTATCCTGCTACTGCACTGAAATCATTTATCAACTGCAAGAGTTTTTTTGTAGAGGCTTTGGGCTGTTTGATATATAGGATCATGTCATCTGCAAACAGGGATAGCTTGACTTCTTCTTTTCCACTTCTTTATTTCCTTCTCTTCTCTGATTGCTCTGGCTAGTACTTCCAATACTATGTTGAATAAAAGTGGTGAGAGTGGGCATCCTTGTCTAGTTCCTGTTCTTAAAGGAAAAGCTTTCAGCTTTTCCCCATTCAGGATGATGTTGGCAGTGGGTTTGTCATATAAGGCTTTAATTATGTCAAGATACTTTCCATCTGTACCTAACTTATAGAGGGTCTTTGTCATGAATGAGTGCTGAATTTTATCAAATGCTTTTTCAGCATCTATAGAGATGATCATATGGTCCTTGTGTTTGGCTTTATTAATATGGTGTATCACATTTATTGATTTGCGTATGTTGAACCAACCTTGCATCCCTGGGATGAATCCCACATCAAATCTCAACAAATTCAAAAAAATTGGAATTATCCCACATATTTTCTCAGACATCAAATCTCAACAAATTCAAAAAAATTGGAATTATCCCACATATTTTCTCAGACATCAAATCTCAACAAATTCAAAAAAATTGGAATTATCCCACATATTTTCTCAGACATCAAATCTCAACAAATTCAAAAAAATTGGAATTATCCCACATATTTTCTCAGACATCAAATCTCAACAAATTCAAAAAAATTGGAATTATCCCACATATTTTCTCAGACATCAAATCTCAACAAATTCAAAAAAATTGGAATTATCCCACATATTTTCTCAGACATCAAATCTCAACAAATTCAAAAAAATTGGAATTATCCCACATATTTTCTCAGACATCAAATCTCAACAAATTCAAAAAAATTGGAATTATCCCACATATTTTCTCAGACATCAAATCTCAACAAATTCAAAAAAATTGGAATTATCCCACATATTTTCTCAGACGAATATTCTGAGGATGTTGGATGGAATGTTCTGTAGATATCTGCCAAGTCCAATTGGTCTAGAGTATTATTAAAATTTTGTGTTTCTCTGCTGATTCTTTGCCTAGATGTTCTGTCCAGTATTGACAGTGGGGTATTCAGGTCCCCTGCTATTATGGTATTAGTGTCTATTTCCTTCTTTAGGTCTAATAGAGTTTGTTTTATAAATCTGGCTGCTCCAACATTGGGTGCATACATATTTATGATTGTTATGTCTTCTTGATGCATCAGTCCTCTTATCATTATGTAGTGACCCTCATTATCTCTTTTTATGGTTTTTAGTTTAAAGTCTATTTTGTCAGATATGAGAATAGCTACTCCAGCTCGTTTTTCTTTTCT